AAGAATGCCACCCAAATTAGCAGTCACCCCCTTCGGAACATTCGCCCCAAAATAAATACTAGATTTCTGCAGATTAACTTTTTGCCCCGAAGCTTCACAATACCTTTCGAGAATAGAGAGTAAATTCCAGCAATAATTTACCTCCGCTTTCAGAAAAAGAAGAGTATCGTCCACAAAAAACATGTGAGAAATGATTGGCCCCGAGACACCAATCCTCACTCCATCCAGCCTTTTCTCGTCAACTGCCTCTTGAATCATGCACGATAGAACCTCCCCCAGTAAAATAAACAGGTATGGAGATAACGAGTCTCCTTGCCTGAGACCCCTAGAAGGAGCAAACTTGTCACCTGGTTGCCCATTAAGAATGACTGCAAAGTTAACAGAAGAAACACATCCCATGACCAGCTTTCTCCACAAACGATAGAACCCCATTCTCTCCATAACCGCATCAAGGAAGTCCCATTCAACTCGATCATAAGCTTTCTGCAGATCCAGTTTAATACCCATTTCAAACTTCCGTTTCGCTGTCCTCCCTTTCAAAAAGTGGAACATTTCATAAGCAATCCCAATATTATCTTGAATTGGCGCCCCGCCACAAAGGCATTTTGGGAGGGAGATATGATATGTGGTAGAATAACCTTTAACCGGTTCGCCCAAACCTTGGACAACACTTTGTAGGAATAATTACAAAGACTAATAGGCCGGAACTGCAAGACCGACTCTGGGTGTGGAACCTTTGGGATCAGAACAATATGAGTAGCATTAAGAGTAGACGGACTGTTCGATCCCTGCATCAACTCCCTCACCAAAGCACAAACATCCGCATAAACATGATCCCAAAAAGATTGATAGAATATACCTTGAAAGCCATCCGGTCCCGGAGCTTTTAGACCACCCATTTTAAAAACCGCTGCCTTAATTTCATCCTCGGAAACCGGCTTTAATAGCGCCTGATTCATATCCTAAGTCACCATCGAACTAATACAGTCCAACAAAGATCCCCAATTCCGGGCTCCCCCAGATGTAAATGTCTGCATAAAATGATCCTCCACCAACTTCCTAACACGACAAGGTTGCTTCACCCAATTCCCAAGCTCATCCTTAATTTTGATAATCTGGTTTCGTCGTCTTCGTTGCAAAGTAGAATGATGAAAGAATCTGGTATTTGCATCCCCATCACGAAGCCATTTAACTCTTGATTGCTGCATCCAATAACTTTCCTCATGAGCCCTCAATTCATCAACAAGCTGAGTTTTCTGCTTAATGACGCCAATATTAGATCACCAATCCCGTTGAAGCTCCTGCAACTGATTAAAAAGTTCCTGAATCAAATGACCCCTCTTCTTGAATTTATTATGGCTCCACCGTAAGAGACTGGATTTGCAATCATTTATTTTCTTCACCCACCTCACCAAGATCTCACCAGAATCCGGCCTATTCCAGCAAGAGCTCACCAACTGATTACATTCATCCTCCTTAGCCCAGAACGCCTCAAACTTAAATGCATTGCGCCCCTGCACACTCTCCGAATCAGATTGAATAATGAGAGGACAATGATCAGACCCCAAGACCGTCCCATGCGTAACCAAAGAATTAGGCCACCGATCCTGCCATAGCCCGTTGATCAAAGCCCTATCAATCCTTTCCTCCACCAGATTACTATAGCGCAATACCACGCCAGGTGAAAGCATGACCATTAAAATCTAAATCCCACAAATTCGTAGCCTGCATGAAAACCTCCAGATACCTAGGTCTATTGTAGAGGACTTCCACACCCCCAGACTTCTCATGATCCCAAAGAAATTCATTAAAGTCCCTGGCACACATCCACAGAATATCATATAGTGTAAAGTAATTCGACATCCAATCCCAAAACGCAGCCTTTTCCTCCCTGTAAGAAGTTCCATAAACTCCAGTAATCCGGACCCAATTACTGTCTTCAACCTTCCGTAAGATAGCATCAATAATATGCTGAGAAGAAAACAGAATTTGCACCTCCACAGAATCATCCCACCACAAACTTAGCCCACCTGCCCTTCCAATCGAAGAAACATTAAAACCATTCAAAAAACCCATACGTCGCCTAACACCATCTAATCTATGATCTTTCATTTTAGTTTTCGATAAAAAGATCATAGAGGGTCGTTTGTTTCTAATAAGGCCATGAAGGGCCCGCACTGCCGTGTCCGACCCTAACCACGGCAGTTCCAAAACACCAGAATCATGGTGATCGTGCGGCTGTTGAGGGCCAGCCGCCACCACCCCGAGCCAGATTGCCCGCACACTCAGCCAAGACACTGCTCTCGTTCTCTACGGAGACTGCCTCCACATGATCCCACAAATCATGGACTTCCATATTGTCTTCACGTAACTCTACTTCATCATAGATAACCCTATCAACCAAGAGACAACTTTCCTTAAAGCTCCTGCCCCACACCAATTCCACCATCTTACCTTTTCTATCAGCTTCCGTGTTAGGCCCTCGAGTTTTCTTTTGCAGGGATGGTATGAAATCCATACTCGAAGACTCTACTCCTTTCTTGATACCACCAACCTCATGACGCAGAAGGCTCGAACTCGTCTTAGAATTACAAACCTCTTTCCCCATGAACCCCTCTAAAACAACATCTGGTAGAGTAGCAGGTATTCCTCGCTGATATCACGAATCCGAACTGAATGTCCTCATTCTCCACCCTGAAAAACCACTTGGTTAAAAACTGGCGGGAAACTCCCACCTGAGCTGACGACTGAGCTGAGGCACAACCACCTGAATCTGACGAGAAGAAGATTGTTGTCGCTGTAATCTACGCCATTTCTTCTTGTCACGGGTTTGAGAACTGTGCGCCCCTGCATTAGCCTCAGTTTTTTCTTTCCCACTTGGAGCCTCACTGTGGATCGGACTCTGTAACCTCGACTCGGGACGATCACTATCCCTTACCATTCCAACTTTCCTCTGTTCACCTACTCCCAAACGCGTCAGATGCACGGGCTCCACAAAATCACGCACTGGGGGAGCCTTCAACCAATCTCCATAGCCCTCCACCCCTCCCAAGTTCGCCGCATAGGAACACTCCGTATTAACATGATCAATACGTTCACAGCGATAGCAAAAGTCTTGGAGCCTCTCGTACCTGAACTCAACCCAAGTCTCACGGTCTACCTCTCTTTTCAACCAACATCTAAGAACAAGCGGGTTCTCCGAATTAACTAAAACTTTAACCCTTAAGAAACCACGAGCTTTGGCAGGATCCTCCACCTCCAAAACAGCGCCAGCATTCCTAGTGAGTCGAGTAACATTCTCCTTGGTAACCAAACTTAAAGGGACACCACGGATTTGAACCCAAAACAGAACTGTCTTCATGTCTACTTCCTCTAGAGCGAGGTCCGGGGGCCAAATCTTCACCATAAAATTCTTCTTCATGACTGCCCACAGCACATGCGCCAGGATTTTATTAGCCATACTCTGATCCTGAACCGAAATAATGAACAAGTTCTCTCGGACCCATTTAATTCCCACTTCACCCAGTTCCTTCCAAGCCGAGTTGAGAGTGTTTCTAATACCCCACCTATTCAACGTTCTCTGCGCCAAATCCATACCAACCAGTTTGACACCAATCTCCATTGTTGACAGATCTAGCGAACGATCCAGATGAACAACAAGCTCATCCACACCTTGATTCTCCATAGATATCAGACTCCTCGCCTTCGAAAGCCTCGGTGATGCCGCAGAGTACTTGAAATACTTAGAAAAAACCTTAGGAACACCCGCAGGTAACAGTCGCATATCTTTAATCTGTCGCAAATCACCTTTAAAAACCAATGGAAGCACAATAAAATCGGCATTAAAAGCATAAACCTGAACATACCTACCATTTGGGGGCAAAAAGGACTGAACTCCTTTAAAGCAGCCAACCAAAGTCTCAATAGACCCATAAATGCAAATCCAACATTCAATTCTATGAGATCTAATTAAACCCATATTTACTCCATCCTCATAGAGCCCACGATTTTTCCGGACTACCATTCCCCTATCGATAACTGGAGTACAGAGGAATAAAACCCAAACCCTTAATCTGAACGACCAGTACAACCCTAACCCCCAAATAAAAGAATGGAAGGGATAAATGCCCTGCCCACTCTCCTCCATACTAACCCCACCACAACCAAAAGAAAAACGAACCCCAAGCGAGGAAAATCGAAGAATAAATTAAAGCTCCACCTACCCCACTCAGACACACCCCCAACTGGAGATCCGGAACCACAGGAGGCGAATATAGACACGGACAGTAAAGCCCCACCACAAAGGAGGAAGCACAAACCCCAACGAAGAAAATCAGAGAAGGAGAAATAGCTCCACCTACCCCTCTCAGAAATCGCCCAAAATGGAGATCCACAACCACCGAAGACGAACACAGAAACGAAAAGAAGAGCACAAATCCACGCCCACACAAAGACACGCACAACGGCGGATTCTCACTGAGGAGAAAAGACTCTCACTACGGAGAGAATTTCAGAGATCCCTCCAACAATATTATTTACACTAAAGAAAATTGGGTGGGCTTAACCTCAGTAATAATGTGGTTCAACTTCGCATTTGACAAAAATCAAATCTAAAACCTTCTACTTACAAGTGAAGAGAACTACCACTACACCGATATTAATTAGATTGATTTGAAGTTTTTCTTATATTTTATTTTGCTATACTAGTGATTTTGAGAGATGCAATCTTTAATACTGAGAAGCGGGAATGTTTATACTAATCACGGTGCAAGTGTAAATGCATTTAAACACTAGAGGTACAAATGTATTGTCAAAAGTTCTTTATTTCATAGAGCCTCAAATTAAACCAAAATAATGTGGACTTTATGTAATGTATGATCTTCATAAATAGGAGGTAATTACTAGAATTAGCGATCTTTTAAAGAAATTCCTCGTGTTGCATCCAAATTTATTTGCTTTATATATATATATATATATATATATATATAACATGATCTTGATTAACATGTAACGGAGGAATATTACTGAACAGAACAAATGAGCAATGTTCTTCAACATGTGAAAATTTGACTCACAAATGATTAACTAATCAAGTGTTGAATTTTGTCGATGATTAATTTAACAAAATTTAACGCTTCGATAAAAAAAAATAAAAAAAAGTTTTGATATCCATCAGAATTCAGGATTGAGAGAGCCGACGGTCAAAACTTTTTAAATTTGGCAGTTTGGTGAAAGTCCTCCCACGAACCCCCACCGACTCACTATCAATACAACTTCATGAGAAGGAATGCATGACACCAACTCCCTGACAAAGCATAACATTCAATTCTGAGCCAATTTATCCCATTTGAAGATGCTGCAAGATTTGCTGGTAAAGGTTGTTGCAAATAAAACCTCAAACATCACCCTGAGTCACTTTGTTCCTGTTATTAAGAATAAACTTTTAGATCTAGCACAGTCCACCGCCAACATAACCAATGTTGACAAATATCAAACACCACCACCGAAGACTCAAGTACCGCTGAGCATCTAAACATGAATGGTAGAAAAGTTTATATTTTTATTTTGACAAACGATAGTATTAATAAGTTAAATTGTTAGTTGTTGGAGGGAAATTGATAGGAATCGAACCCGCACCAGATTGCATAATCATGATTGTTTTTCGCCATGTACTAAAGCAACATCGGCACAAGTGGTGGAAAAGTTCAAACGAACAAAGATTCAATAATTGTAATGAAAAATCAGTTCGCAAACATGAAAAGTGACAGCAATTTGTGACATTAGTCTTTCAAGGAGCTCCGTCACTCCCCTTGTCCTAATCATAGCTACTCTGCACTGTAGAAAACCAAACATACATATTCCGGTAATTGCGGATTCTGTAAAATCAGCGTAAATCCGTCCATTTCGCTACTAACAATCACACATATATTCAGCATATGGACACATAGAAGGAATGAAACAAAGAGAGCTCTTAATACTAACCCGACCGAGAAGTATTTTCATCGTTATCATCAAGAATGAGTTTGACTCCGTTGTTCTTAAGAGCATTGACGATAGCCCAAATCTTGGTGCGGTTCCTAAAACCCTTCTTCTCGACTTCGTTATTTACATTGACGTGAATCCCTCGTCCCTGTCCCTCATCAAGACCTTCCACCTTGAGTCTCCTAGCCAACACCTCTCCAACAACTGCCCCTGCCTTTGCGTTGCAAGACCTTCCACATTCAAGTGAGCCCTTGATTGAATGTTCAACTGTAGATGCTGATACAACAATCCTGCCATTATTTCTGTCCACTACGTTTGCTGTTATGTACTTCAATGATATGAACATTCGTAGCACATACCGCTTCACAACCGTCATTCTGAGGCAGTCCTGCTGTTTTTCGTTTAATAAAAGCATATTGGATATGAAAACATTTATCAACCAAACAAAGATACTAAACTCTGGTAGTTAATTCTCCTCAAGGGGTGTACAGGGACACTTTTAGTTATCGTAACCCACTGCCACAGGGTAAGTTCTAACCCAATTCATTTAAGCACTAACAGAACGGTGATAACACACACTTGAATCAAACTGGTTGCACCTTCCACCCAACTTTTATCAAACACGTAGAACCAAATACTAATTGCTTCGACATGGTAAATAAAGATTTAATTAAAAAAAATTCCTTCAAATACAACATGCTAACTAATGCATTATTGTAGGCCTGATTGCCAAGATATACAGGACTGAATAAATCCAGGGTCCCAAAATTGTAAGTTCAAATACATCTTAATAGACATTCCGAAACAATTTGAGTCCAACTTTGGTACACAAATTTAATCTGACTCCCACTCCCACCTAGAAAACCATCTGATAAACTGAAATCCTGAAAGTGAAAGGAACGTGCATTCTTTGTTGCTCCGCTACCTCAAAAGTTTCACACAGACACTGATTTGTTAGTCCTTAGTGGTTGTAAGACTAGTTGTAGGGCTGATGATTGAAGACAGGGAAATCCAACAATATCAATTTACCTTAGAGTTCCCTTTCTCCGCAGAGGGAAGGAGAAAAAATAAACATGCTCGTCAAAACAAATTTCCATGTTACTAGCAAAGAAGTTGCATATTTGGAAGTTCCACAAAGTAGAAAGGTTATCCAAGTGCCAGAGGTATATTATAATGCTTAACCTTAATTTTCACCCAAGTACATGCTATTAACAGCAATGCCACCATATATCGGTCTTAGAGATAAATACCAAAACATATTTGATTCTACTCAAAAGCAACTGACAGAAATACCTCTGATTACCCTAGCCGTAAGTAGAACCAGAAGCAAGTAACACATAACATAAGATTTAGCTTCTGTAACTCTACTTGTCACATCCCGGCCCGGGCCCCCACCACATTCTGGGCTCGACTCCACCGTAGCATGATATTGTCCACTTTGAGCCCTAACCACACCCTCACGGTTTTGTTTCTGGGAACTCACACGAGAACTTTCCAGTGGGTCACCCATCCTAGGAATGCTCTTGCCTGAACTCGCTTAACTTCGGAGTTCCGATGGAACCCGAAGCCAGTGAGCTTCCAAAAAGCCTCGTGCTAGGTAGAGATGGGAATATACGCTTACAGGATCCACTCCCTGGGCGATGTGGGATGTTACACTACTACTAAGGGTAAGAAACACCAAACCCAGACTAGCGCACGGTACAAGTTTTCTGTACAAGTTATAGCATTATGAAGTCAGTGCAACGCTTTGTAAATTCACTAAATTCATATACTGAGACAATCGTATTTTGATTTACTAGATCAAAGGGCAAACTACAACCTCAAAGCATGAACAAATAACATGAAGTAAACAATGATAGTCAATCAACCTTCAATGAACTCGATACGAAAGAACACAAAAAGTAGTAAGATTGTACCTCAAACGAAACAAATACGAAACTCCTCGACCAAGTTCAACCTTTTTAGCTCTCTTGCAGGATCTCAAACTACATTAAGCTGTTAGAATAAGAAGAAAACTAAACCATCAGAAATCTTTATCCAAAAGTAGAGGGAAACACAAACACTGAGGAAAAAATGGAAGAAACCAGGAAAATAAAAAGTAAAGGACTGTGATGCTCAAATCCAAAACAAAAAAGCAAACCAGGACACCTCAAAAATTCAAATAACGCAAACCCTTTCGTATGCTTAAAAAAAAAACCCATAATTTCCTAATCCTGGATTATTACTTGCTTGTGAAGTGGAGGGGGCAATCGACCAAAAATTCACAGCATAAAATAATTAATCATAAAAATACATTTTTGAAAAATGATTAAACACGTCTATTTATTCTGAAGGAAGAAAACATGAACGGACGAGAGAGAGAGAGAGAGAGCAATTGACGTACCTGTCGGGAACAAGGCTGAAAGCTTGGTGGGGTGGAACCGTGGAAGCGTGGGAGTGTGACTGAGTGCCGAACGGGGAAAGGGGGAGAAGGAGAAGGAAAGCTAACGGGTGGGCTGGCTTGGGTAACGGGCTGTTGGAGGGTTGTGGTGGCTATTGGGCTACTGGGTTCAATTTTGACAAGTTAATGGACACCCAAATATTGTCTTTAGACCCCAAGTTCTCCTTGGTCTAAATTTCAAAATTGCACAAGACGATATTTTATAAACTCTCTAATCAGCAAGGTATAAAATATCGATGATATCAGAAATATTGGTAGTCCAAAAACACAAAAATATCAGGATATTATCGATATCGATAAAAATAATATGAAAACCACAGAAATTGTAAGAAAAACTTGGAAATTTTTATTGAAACTTTACATGATGTTTATTTAGTCAATTATCTATTAGTTTATTACAAAAAATTGGAAGGAAATGCATTGCATGATAGATTTAACTGATTTAAGTTGATTATATAGCGAGCTGGCAAACATTGTGAGTATAGAAAATATGTAGTAATTAATGAAAGAAGTTTAAACACACCATAATCATTTATATATAATGAATTAGTAAAAAAAGAATTCAAAACAAAACCATATATATATATATATATTTGAGCATATTTTCACAAAAACATAAGTGATATTTTAGCATATTTTCATAATAAAAGAATGATAAAATGCAAAAAAAGTATCCAACAAACAAGTCCAAAATTTAAAAACACATATTTTTGAGATAATTGATTTTACATCATACTTTAATAAAAACGAACGACTAAGACAAAGAAACTAAAAGAAAGGAAAAACATAAAAGAAACAAATAAATTAAAATAAACAAATAATAAAACAAAAAGAAAAAAAAAAAGGAAAAGGAAAGGGCTCACCTGGATTCGAAATCAAGACCTAGAGCCATGGGAAAAGCGCATCAAAAAGAAAGAAAAATTTGATGGGCGCAAGGGTTCAAACTGGAGAACTTGGGGATTGTGAGGACATGTTGACCAACACGTCCAAGTCCATACTGGTGTCAATCTTTAGCAACAACTATAATATATGCGAATTTAGCAGCTTATGTTCATTTCAGAAGAAAAAAAAACCCTAGCACTTTCTGTCTTGCCTCGAGCCCAGAGCCCCAAACGGCTATTTGTCTTTCCATGTCAGACTTTTCCCATTCAATAGACATGGCATGCACACATGTCATGCATCCATGTGGTGAACTTCTTAGGATTCCAAAATAAAGGCTAAGATGTGCCCTATTTTTCCCAGTTCTGATTATCTTTTAGAAATCCTAGGCCTCTCTCAGAGATATCTCTCAATAATTCAAGGACCTCCTTTCATTTTACTCGGCCTTCTCTTCCCCTTTCTCTCAGACCTCTCTTTAAGATAAAAAAACAAAAAAAAAGCTCTCGTTGGCGTCGTATCTCTCTCGAAACTCTCATCTCTCTCATTTCTCTCTGCACCGAGACCCACATACACACACGCACACCATCGCACCTGCTTGAGGAAGACACCCATCGTCATCAGCAACCTTGTCTTTCTCCCTCTCCTTCTCGTCTCTGCAACTCGGCGACGCATGAACCCTCCGACGCAGAAATAACAGACAGGGCGCGAGCGAGCGGAGGGGAGACACACCACACCCACCCCACCGTGACCTCCACCACAGTGGCGCACACTCCGGCGAGCACCATCACCACCTGTGAGAGGCGCAGATCTTGGCAGATAGAGGCGCAGATCTTGGCAGAGAGAGGCGCAGATCTTGGCAGCTGCGACGACGGAGCTCGGCTGCCGTTCCGACAACGGAGAGAGAACGATATTTTAACGAAAACTAATTGGATACCTATTAAAATATCGGTAACGCGAAAACCGATAATATCGGCGATATTCCGCCGATATTATCGGCATTTAAGACCTTGCTAATCAGAGAGATGATTAAATAAATAAATAAATCTTCACATATGGCAAACTAAGAGGGTGTTTTCAATTCGGATTTTGAGGGATTTTAATTATTTTAATGAATTTAGGGGTATTCAATCAGGATTTTAAGTGATTATCTGAAATTCAATATGTATTTAATCAGAATTTTAAGATAGTATATTAAATCCGTATAAACTGGATGTATTCAATTAGGATTTTAAAGAAGTTTATAACATTCCATGTGTATTCAATTAGAATTTGATTTTAAAGAATTTCAAAAAGTTGAGGAATTAGAGGGAATTAGAGAGATTTTGTAGTGTATTTTAAGCATCCACAAATCTCACCTCTTCCTATGAGATTTCAAGGGAATTGAATCAAAATTTTACATGGAATCTCTACAAACCAATTAAACTCCATAAGAATCAATGTATTTATAAATCCATTAAAATCTCTCTAATTCTCAATTGAATACACCCCTCCTAAATGTGAGCACAAATGGCGGGCACACAATCACCCTAATAAACTAACTTGATCCACACATATCACAAATTGGCAAGGGTGGGGCTATCTCTAGAACAACATGTAGTGTGGTTTGAAGAACCCCCGATATTACTGATCTCTTACTTGAGGATAGTACTATTACGTAGTTTGATGCATGACACTCTTTTTCACTTCGATTGGGTTGAAATCCCCGATAAGGTTTTTATTGAAACCCAATGTGACACCCTATCTTCTAGTTTTGTACGTATTTGCTAAATCTTATCAATGAATATCGTACTTTTCTCAACAAAAAAAAAAACCTTTAAACACGTTACTAAGACTATCTAAAATTCTGTATATACTAAAACCTAGTTTAGTAGCTTCGCTGTTCCTAAGCACAGTGAAAGGACGAAATTGCTCATCTTCAAGTGTTTTTTTCTTCCTTCTTTTCTCATCTTCACAGTAAAATTACGAATTTGCCCATACAGATGCATTTGTTGTGTTGGGGCGCTGTCATTGGCTATACGTGACATCATTCTCCTCTTCTCGACAACAGTGAGTTGTTTCTCCAAATAGTTTACCCAAACCACCACCACCACCACCACCGATTCATCCAAATCAACAGAATTGCGCCGCATAACCAGTCAACAACGCAGAGCTCTCTTCGTCCACAGCAACTCATCAGTCCACCTCAACACCACGTGCGCAACAACTAGCACAATCCCAACCAGCAACGGCACCCAAACATTCACCGTTGCCTAGGAAGAACATCAATAGAACCCATTTTGCTAAAGGTAAGCAATTTATCCTAATTTAGAATTCAAAAGTTCTTTACAAAAGCAGTTTATTTTCTCAAACACAAAGGAAATTGGCAAGTTATATGGTATAAAAAAATTCTGATAAAATTCAAACAAGAAAGTTAGGTCTGGGTATTAAGGATTGTTTTTTGTTGTGAAAATGTTTGATTGAAAGAGTTCCATCAAAAAGAGATGAAACGTTGCTCAATACCCGGTATGTCTATCTATAAGTGATTTTGGGGGTTTTGTGAGAGACTAGGAATTATGGGAGCATTTTGTTTTTATTTATGAGATTTCTGAACAAAATTATAAATGCTTTTGAGATTGGGAGACAAAACCCACAAATTCAAATCAGACCAAAAATAAATAATAAATTTAAAGACTTAAAGATCAAACTAAAGGGTATTAAATACAAGGCTTATTTGATCCATTGAGTGTGAAAGTTTTGAGCTTTGAAGAAGCAGAGGATGAGAGTTTTTAACTATTGGAAGTAGGGTTAAAGCAACTACTCAAGTGTGTCTCCTAAGTGGTTAATCATTTGTTCTCTTTAAGTAGGGTTAAAGCAACTACTCAAGTGTGTAGGGTTAGGGTTAAAGCAACCACTCAAGTGTGTCTCCTAAGTGGTTAATCATTTGTTCTCTTTTCTTAGGAGTCCACCAGTTGTGGCATAACTCAAAATAATACACAATCCTTGAAAAGTCAATATGGTATCAGAGCAGGAAAAATAACCTGCTTCTGCTTTACTACCATCTGAACGTGTCCAATATTCAAAATGGCTGAAGACAATCCTCTTAGGTCTGATGCTGAAAGGTCACTAGTTTTTTCCTCCGTGAATATGCCTGAGGTGGATGTTAACCCAAATCAAAGATTAAGCTCAGTCTTG